GAAATTTTTGCAGGGCCCCATAATTGGATTCCGTACGTCCACATTGGTTTAAGATAAAGTTTATATATTAGAAGCTTGATTGGAAGTTTTATGTGGTTGGAGGTTAGGAGAGAGCGAAGTCGATTGTTTAGGGATAGGAGTTTGCTGTGAATATGAGGAGACCATGTGAGGCGTTGATCAATAACTATGCCTAGATAGCGTGTAGCGTGTGCTCTGCGCGGTTGGCAAGATTTGCTCATTTAAAGTAATAGGTGGGCATATTCCCTTCCTAAGAGTGAAGGTACATTGTATAGATTTAGATTCATTTATTTTCACACCCCACTCCTTATACTAAGAGCTTAATATAAATTTTTTTTATTTCTAACGCCCGTYATTACGTTACAAACCATACTATATCCATTCCGAACTACATATCCAAACAGCAAAARACAAATTCATCTAYATCAATATCRTATCTATACTACTCTGCTATCCTAATACACAGATATCCACAATCAGATATTTTAACTATAAGAGATATACCTAAAGACTGAGGATTCTATACCAGACTCATGAGTAAATATTATCACGACTTAAAAATATAAAATTCTACAGATGAATCTGGCACGTATTTAAAGCGGTTGGCCTCGAGATTATTATGATACACGGCCGTTTGCTAAAATATCTAGCATAGAAAATTAAAACTTTTTCTAGCATAAATAATAATACAACATGGAGAGCTGTTCAAATCAATGTAAATTTTAGAATAATCAGGATTTAAAAATATTAAAAATTATGAACATTTTTAAATTTTCAAAAATGTAATATAACTGGTCGGTATTTTGAAAAAAAAAAATAGCGATGATAACACAGCTTGGCTAATAAACTTTTTGATTTCGCTGGAATATGGTCAAGGATCAAGTATATCAATAACACCAATATCCAAGAGGTTAACGAAAGAGAAATTAATATAAATATATAGAATCTGATTCCGAAGATGATGAAGACTTAAAACAATTAAATAATAATAGTTGACAAAATTTTATAAAATTTGCTTTAATAATGTTTTAAAAACATACAGTTTACATATTATATTCTCATATGTATATGGCCTACAAATATATTTTAACATTATAGGTAGTGTGCACAAGTAAAATGTGAAAACACATTTTCAAACCTGAAATACGAGACAAATTTAATATATTTGTATTAATAATGAATGTTGAAAAAAATATTTTTTTTTTAATATTAAAAACGACGACATAATTATACATTTAATTGCAATTGATAAATATATAATGAAATAAATGGTTCAACTAGTAGCTATTATATATTTGTTACATTTAGTCCCCTACCCAATCCCTAACCCAAAATAAAAGCTTAAACTTACACAATTAAAAAAATTGTGGGCCATTGAAAGAGTTTGGAGTGTTCAGGCTCTAAAACTACCTATTATAACTATATGTATGTATATGAACAACTTGTAAGTTAATTGGGTTAGAAAAATTATAGTGCAAGGTAAGTTCCTACAGGGGCTACGGTCCGACCCTGAATGAAAATTTCACTAATAAACCATCTTCAAGACTATAAAAATTGGTACCTACATTTCAAAATTAAAAACAACTCAAACATCCAACTTATTGTATAACAAAAGTGCATAGGCACCTACATCGTATAAAAATAATGATAATATTAACATACATTACGTGGCGAGAAAATCATATATTTATTGTATAATTAAAAAATTGTACGATACACAAATTAAGGACAACATTTTTTAAATTAGTCTTACGTTTTAAATTTATTAATTAAAATGAAAACTAAATAAAACATAATTATATACATAGATTATGGKGTGGATAAAGATTATGCAACAGGCTCGAACACCTAATACAAAATGTCAGTGCTCGAGGCTCTGGACGACACTGATCCAACAGTAAAAACTTTCAAATGAAAAAGGTTAACGATATTATTAAACTAACAGCTACACCCAAAACTAAAAACAATAATTTCTTAAATAAACAAAAACTTACCTTAAGAATACTTTATCGTGTTATTAAATTAATATACCTATTTATGTTTACAATCATATTTAATTTGGTTTAATCTATGCATACAATATATTATATGATATATCTTTTAATCTTTTATATATTTAATAATTTTATATTTTCGGAAATTCTTGTAATGTAAAATTGCCGGTAGACACCAGTCATTGTGGGTAATTGGTATGTATATATATTACCGTAATTGACCGATATATTTAGTCGATGTAATTTATCAGAATTTTTTAGCTAAGCTGGTTAAAGATTCGTTGTTCATGAAACTTTGTATATTTAAACTTGTTGGGAGATCCTCGATCATTACRTTATAAATTTAAAATGTTTTTTTTTCTATTTATAACAACTAGGTAGTATTTGAATAAGACACAGACAATATTGCTGATGAAATATTATATCAGACTTATTTTACTATACTTAGAATACTTGATTTCATTATTTTAAGTAATTAAATTACAAACTTTTACTAATAAATATAGATAMTACTCTAAATAGTAGGAATACTTAGTTATTTTATATAAACAAGCGGTAAATTGATTATACTACAAATATTGGTATTGACTCCAACGTTATTATACTGTTGCATCCTAACTATCACTTATTAGATTTGTATTAGTTATAACTTATAATTTTTCAGGTCATGCATTCAAGATTCTTTACCAGGAATAGCTCACAGGTAAATTTATAATCATATTCGCTACACTTTTTATGATTTTAATTATATATGTAATGTATAAAACTTTAAACTATACCTAATTCTAGAATATAATATTAATTTCTATACTTATTACCCAGTAATTACTTTTTAATTATTACATAGACTTAGATACTAATAATATAGATAATAATATGAAAGTAAAACTATCAAGGTTCTCGCCTCTATTGTGACTTGTGACACACGAAAAAAAGATAATATGGGTAGCATGACATTTAAATTTTATAAAAGCACATACACTCATTAGTAATTATACATCTGTTTGAATGCAATTCTAATTAAAAAATAATTAATAAAATCTAGTCATATAGTATTCAATATTTCATTATTCAGCATGTTTTAAAAAGTGATAACCAACTACCCACGACATTCTAAAACATTATTTACTATGGAAAAATCTRTAGTAACTGATTTAAATTTTGTAAATAAAGTGTAGGAAAGCATTGTTTATAATACAGCTATGTAGGTACACTGCAGTCCACGCATCATATTGGATTCAACTTTGACTCAACTACTGCAGTATACGGCGTAGGCGAGCTTTCAATACATTTTTCCCCATTTAATTAAAAATAATGAATCCAACAGAAACGCATATGCCAATTAACTATAACACCCACTAAACCATAATATAGACAAAGAAAAAAGGTGAAAGCCATTGTATGGATATTGCGATAATATTCCTCCGATATTTAAAAAATAAATACTTTTTCATATACATCCAAACTGATATGCTGAAAAACAAAACAAATAAAAATTATAAATATTAAATTAACAATGATTCATCGCACAGTAACGGATGCACATTGACGTAAATCGTAGATATAATGTTTGAATGCTATAGAATTAAATCAATTTTAAATACTTGATATCATAAAAAAATTAAAATTTGACTATATAAAAATACAACTTAAATATTCCACCAATCGTTTTTGAAATTATCAAAATACAAAACAAATAATTATGAAAATTATTTTATTTTTTTCATTTTATAGAGTTTTCAGAAAAACTGCGCAGAATAACAAGCTGTGTTTATATTTGGGCAACAGAGACGTAGTGGTATCCAACAATTCATCCACAAAAATACACGGGATCGTATTGGTAGAACCAGATCTATTGAGGGATACAAAGAAAAAAGTACTGTGAATTAATGTATTTTTGTTAAATTCATACATTTTTATGAGATCATTATAGTAAACAAAATGATGCTTCAGCATAATAGTAATTATAAATTGTATTAATCATTAATTGAGTTATTACACTTGTAGATAATACATTTAACTACTCGCTCGATGTACATAGAACTATAGAAGTTACAATTTCTATAACGAATGATTATTAAGTGTAATCAAAATCACAGTTATCTTAATTTTAAATTTCCATGATATATATTATTATCTAATTTAAAAATATAATTGTATATATACTATCATGATGGTTGTCATTCAAAGTTTTTTTGCTCAAACAAAATTTACTCATGTAAAGTTTTGACGTATTAACTCTCATATTATATAGAATACAACAAACTTTGTACTTCATGATTCTTAATATATATGATTATATAAACAAGGAAAATCGTTTATTTAGAAACGAATTACAAACATTTTTCATATTATAACATAATAATATTTTAGTTAAATAAATATCAGCAAAGTAGAATAAAATACAAAAATAAATCATCATTTTACAGGAGGATAAAAAAAACATAATAATATTATAATATTATAATATTATAATATACAATTGTTCAAATAAATACAAAAATACATATATAGAATATAGATACGCATAGCATGTTGTTAGGTATACTGATGAGTCCTAAACGGGTAATATACGCGCTGTTGAGTAAATACTTGCGGTTGCAACGTTCGATCGTAATATAATTGGGAGTTTGTAATTTGCACCAAATTAAAGATAATATGTAATTTGCACCACTGCAGGTAGCCAAAAATAGTGTTTGTAATTTGCACCAAAATGATTATTTATTTATTCGATTATCGAATATTCRATTTTGAAATATTCGATTTTTCCTCGGTATCTTCGTAGACATCGAGACTAGATTGATACCAATGACAATAATAATTTTAATAATAATAATAACATATAATTTTTTTAATTRRCCAACTTTTTTTTATATTCATAATTATACAATTTTATATAAACWTAGTASTTACATCAATATGTGTATAAGCTCAGCTATTTTATAAATAAAAACTAAGCTAAATTTATATTAAGATATAAAAACTTATAAGTTTGTACTATCAAAATACTATCGAAAAAATAATCGATTTTAATTTTGGTACAAATTACAATTCCTATTTCTTACTACCYGAGGATGATTGAAAATTACATATCTTTATTTTGGTGCAAATTACAAACGCATTTTAAAAAAAGCGGGTAAGTCGTGGATGTCGCTCTGCTGTACAGTAGGTTACAAGTCGGTTACTGTAATGGATGGAATTAAATTTGAATCCAATGATATTATATCATTGTATACGAAAAACGATTCTGAGCGAAGACGGTTTATCTGTCTAGGATATATTATAGATGATTTAAAAAGAAAAATTTTTAATAATTTCTAGTTTAAAATAATTTGCGAATTTTCGTGATTTTCGTGATTTTCGTAATTTTTACATATGTTGTTAAAAATCAAACTTTGAAAGCTTGTAAAAAAAAATTGTGCCAATATATTTCTTTTATATTTCACCTGCTATTTTAAGAATATGTTAGGAGCCTTATATAAAATTTAAAATTCTTAGATATAAAAAGAAAATTTTTTATGAATTTCTAGCATAAAATAATTTGTGAATTTTCGTAATTTTTACGTATGTTGTCAAAATTTGATCTTTAAATGCTTATAAAAAAAAATCGTGCCTATGTATTTTTAATATTTTTTAACTGCTATTGTTACAATGTGTTAGAAGCCTTGTATTAAATTTTCAAGCTTTTCTACCGAACAAATAAATTTTTATCGATATTAATTTTAAAAAAACTAATAATGTTCGAAAATTTCAAATGTCTATGAATAGTTCAACTTAAGTCGAAAATTTTTGAAAATTGCATGGTGAATAGAATATACTTATATAAACATTCTGTGAAAATTTCATGTATCTATATGGTCATTTGTTTTAAAGTTACATCAAAAACCAAAATCGATTTTGTCGAAAAATGAGTGTGCGTTAAATTTCCCGTTATTCTCTTAATTTTTAGTTTGTTTTTCTCGATTATTTAGAAAAGTATTAAGAATTTTTTACTTTTGACCCCAAAGTACCAACTAGATTCACTTTCTGATCGAACGAGGTACTGAAGTCAAAAATCGAAGCATTTTTACTGCCCCAAAACGTGATGACAGACACAAAAAAAAAAATAAAATAAAAACACACATCATGGTAAAATCAATACATTCATCGCTCCGCTCAGAATCTAAAAATGGTGCAAATTACACATGTTGTTAATATTTTGGGTCAATTATTGGTGCAAATTGACTACAGCCATATAATTAACAGCAAGGTATATATATAGGTACAAGGTACCTATCATAATTTAATTAAGCATGTTTAACAATTATAACTGTGCAGTTATTGTCTAAGATAATTCAGTTGGTATAAGTTACGTAGGTATGTACAGGATGTTTTAAGTGCACGCGCTAGTTTATATAATCTACCATTGACAAAAAACCCACTTCACGACTTCACAAACACTGTACAATACTGTAAAACGCATTGGTTGAATTATTTTCGAGAYCTACACTGGCGTTAAAAGCATTTCGACGCGGTCATGCTGAGTTTTACAGTATTATTAGTTATTACTGCTATTATTACTTCCCGGTTCTTTTGCGCCTTTAATGGATTTTAAATGGGCACCCTCGACAAAACATGCAACGAAGTGATGGCGTATAACAGGAGAATTTTAATACAAAGACGTTTGAATTCGATGATATGTCATGWGTGTTAAATGTTAATAGTTAACTAGGTAAATAAACTAACCTTTAAAAACAAATTTAAAAAAAAATAATTAATAAATGTGACATGATTTATGCAACTCTATTACAAATGAATCGTCCTGTAAAAAATTATCCGACGAACATTAATAAATTCATAACAAAACAGTTTTAAGTGATTAATAGAACACAACCTACCCAGTTGGTTTATTTTCAGGAGTAATATTACATAGTATACCTACATAATATTATTAATTATTTCACTTAAAACTGTAGTCTCTAATAACACTAATACATTCACCGTAATTAAAATTTAAAACGCCCTAAAAAAAATGATGTCTAATAATTTTTTATTGTATGCATTTCAATTCATAAAGGTGTTCGGGCAAATAACATTAACTTTCCGGTATGGAAGAGAAGACGAGGAAGTAATGGGATTGAAATTCTGTAACGAAGCAATCATGTGTTTAGCGCAGATATATCCACCTCACGAAAATGCGCAACGTGAACAAAATACACCGTTACAAGTATATAAATATTGATTAGATTATGTTCATCCGAAAATAAAGATCAAATATTATTTTAGTATTCAGATCATATTCATATTTAATTGATCTTAATTAAACGAATGATATATAATTTTTTTTTAATAACAATTGCATGAAGTAAAAACTTTAAATATTAAATTAATTCCAAAATTTAACCATAATAAAAAATGAACAATAAGGCTATATAATGCTATAAGTAATTGGTTTGTGTCCTTTTAAAAGTATTAACTACCTCTAATTTACACATGATATATATATAAGCTATGATAGAATTGTATATATACAATGATTTTTTTATTCGATATATCCCTAATTCCAATTTACTATTCGAAGAAAAAAAAAGTAAATGTTAAGATATTTTGAAACTCTTTTTTTTTCAAGCCAATAAAATAATCTAACCTATAATTTTACTAATATAAATTATACACAATCATATGCATATTAGTAGGTCAACCTTCAGTATGTATTCAAATTAAAACTTGACTTTTATATTTAATATACAATACATATATATATATATATATTATTTAGCAAATACTACTAAATAATTCAACAATAAGAGAAAACATACAAAAAACAACCGTAACATTATTTAATGTTTTAATGTATTAAAATAAACATAATTTATTGACTAGAGATATGTACATAAAATATAAATATGATAAATATTATTATTTACCTATATTTCATATCATCGTCGGGATCTTAATTAATCTAATTGAGAAGATCTAACGAAAACATGCATATTCTAATGCATAGAAGCTCTCTTAAAATACAACTTTTGTTTTTATTTTTTAAGGAAATGTTAATACAAAGACTGGGAAGCAATGCCCATGCGTTTTCAATGGAAATAACTCATTTAGCTCCACCTAGCGTCCAATTAGTTCCTGCCAAAGAATACAGCGGCGCTCCAATAGGGACTAGTTACGATATACGAGTATACATAGGTATGAACAAAAAACTATATATTATTATTAATTCAATAAACATAATTAATTAGTATTATTTTGTATATTATATTGAATTATATGTGTACCTACAGTATATTTATTATTAGCAGATCATTAAATTGTGTATAGTATAATAGATTTTATATGTTTTATTTAGGCCAATAAAATGTTTTAACAACGTCAATAATTTTGTCACACATTTCAACCTTATTATTAAAATACACAATGGAATTTTCAATATCATTAAACGATTATAAACTGATTCGTAAATGATTTTATTGCATAAACTACATTCATTTGTTGACAAAATAATTTAAATTTATTTTATTTAAATTTATAATGCATTTAAGTTTCTTAAATGTTTTCTCGCAAACAATTAAAACGATGATTATATTTATTTAATCTTATCATTATAATATCAAATGGCTATAAAAACGCAAATATTTAATACATAATTATAATAACAATTTAAGTACAATACTCGTATACATGAATATAATATTATCGTGTATGCAATGGCCCATCATTCATTATAATTTTGAATCTCGAGAGGCTTACGTAATTGTATTCAAATTAGATCAAGCGCTACAGATGTTATACCACAAATGGTTTCTACTTCAATTAATTATAAGTTTAACAAATACCGAGGGAAACGACATAATTTTACGGACAAGATTTGAATATTTTCAAAATTAAAAATGTTTGCTAAGTGAAAACAAATATTATCCATTTTCCTACAGAATAAGGAATTATATCCCTTAGCATACGAACAAATAAGTAACCAATGTAATATTAATAAAACAAAAAATACAAATTATACGATAATAATTCCTTTAACACATAATTTGTATAAAAGTTGCCTTTAATTAAATACTATTTTTATTATTTTTTTTATTTAATACTCATATTTTTGATAAATAAAGCCGTTGTACGTATAAATATCTCTTATATTTACTTAAATGTGCTGGACAAAATTTAAAGATGTTATTATTTGTATAAAAATATAGCCGAAAGGGCAGACGAAAAATTACAACGAAAAAATATCGTAAAAATGGGTATCAAAGTAGTGCAGATGGCTTCAGCGCCACCACCGCCCACGCCTACGCCCAGATCAGAGCAGCCAAAAGGTTGGCGTCAAAGAGGACCACAAGCTACTTCAGAGAAACCGTTTTTACTTAGTGATGGTAAAGTCACCTTAGAGGCGAACCTAGACAAAGCTATTTATACACACGGTGATCCAATTCATGTTAACATCAGTGTGAAGAACACAAGTAAAAAAGCTGTTAGACGAATAAAGGTAAATGCTTCAAGTTAAATTAGTAGAAAATATACCCCTAACATATAGGTAATACCACTTATAGTAGGCRTTTTATTTTATATAACCTATCACCAATTAAACTCAAATATTTCTGAAATTTAAACAATAATACTGCTAAGTAAATAATATTTAATCATCATCTGGTGTGGCTGTGATTATATTAAGTCCTCMGAGATATTCTTCCCCACTTCCCACCGGTAAAATATATCCCTGGCAACATTTTACCTGGAAATGAAAATTCACAAGAGATATTTTAACTAAAAGCAACATTTAAAATGTCATTAAAAAGAAATACTTTTAAAAAAAAACTTACTATAGTAATTTACTAATTTCTAAGTTAAAATAAAAAAAAAACAATTATAAGTATTGAGTTTATCAAAAATCTGGCAATCAAAAATTTCAATATAATTCGGAAACTGTAATGGTAAATAAAGTAAAAGCAGAAAACATAAGTCTGGATCTCTTTTAAAATATAAAAATAAGAATATACAAATACAGTGTTGTTATTATGGCGTAATATAAATGTGACAATTATATTATAGTTATTATATTTTTCAACAGATTTTTAACAAACAAAATTGATTTTAATATTTCACTGCAGGACAACTAGGTACTAAAATATACAACGMAATTCTATGATAGGTATCGGATGATTTAACACCGACCCGGTCACACTGATGATATTATACACATTTATAGGTGTTCATCGTACAGCAAGTCGACGTATGCATGTTCAGCAACGGGAAATTTAAAAACACAGTGGCATCAGACGAATGTGCCGACGTACCAATACCCGGAAATGGTGGTTCACTTGAAAAGGAATACTTGCTGTACCCTATCAAGGCGAGAACCAAAAATTGGATCGCACTAGAGGACTCGCTTGGGTCTGCCGTAAACAAGTCAGAAGGCACGTTGTCCAGCACTGTGGTATGCGTGTCACCAGAAGACAGAAACGTGTTCGCAATTTATGTCACGTACTACGTAAAAGTTAAGCTTTTAATAGGCGCCATGGGTGGACAGATGTCACTCAAATTACCATTTACTTTGATGCACACGCCTTCAAATACTTACCCGGCAGGTAAACTATTTTTAGAAGAGTCACAATTACCTATAATTTATGGATATAACCGTATATAGGGACTTCATAATAAACAATGTCAAGTAATTAAATATTAATAAATTATAATATGGCTAAATCATATCTAGAATCTTTTTCATGGGAAGATCCAACAACTTATGTTAAATTAAGGTTATCGTTTTAGCCTATCAGTGTTCACACCATTGTCACAACCAGATCGGATGTTGCCTCACATTTCCAATGCAGACATAAATATTTAGTTGCACCACTGTTACTCATTACTAAGGAACGGATTTAAATGCTTTAAAAAAACAAGAAATATAATAAATGATAATAAAAAGATGCTCTTACACAAAAAAACAACAAAAATTAACAAAAAAAAAAACAATATTTAGTTATATTCATGTAAATATAAAATGAATTTTAAGTTTTAACTAATAACTTATCAAATTGTATTCATTCTTAAGTAAAATGACTTAAAAACATAAAAATGCACTAAAAATTCAAAGAATGCTCTAAAAAGTAAATTTCTTAGAAATTTAAAATAAAAATTACATTTTTAATTCCTTAACATAAGAAATGAACTCTGTGCTTGTAAATCAATATTTTCAGATATTCAGAAAAAAATGCGATTTGCATTCAAATTCGCTCCTCACTCATTACAAAATATAAGTTTTAACATTTGTTGAATCGCGATGAAGGTTCAGTATTAAGATTTAATAATAGCCAGAAATTTGGTATTTCAGGACACCGCGGACTGTCTTCCCACCCACCTCCTCCCACAAGTGGCGCAACTAGGATCTATTTTCGGGAGGGGTTATACATATAAAAAAATAAATTAGCAAAAAAAAAAGTCTTCACTTAATGAAGTGAAGACACTTTGAAATATTTGACTTTTAAACACATTTCGGGAGGGGTCACAACCCCCAAACCCCACCCCTGGTTGCGCCACTGCCTCCCACCAAGATACTGCAATCACTATCAAATTTGTTTGTTTCCATATAATTTATAAATATGCCAACAATTTTTAATTTTTATATATATGTGAAATAGAATGCAAGGATGCTTCGTGTACGTCGTTGGGTCCCTGCCTAATGGTGGACAGTAAAGAAGCAGCCATGACATCAGAGGAACAGTGTGCCAATAACTTAGCACTCTGAGGATTAATTGAATCGGCCGGTAATCGAGATATTCGTTCGACACCAACAACAGCCACGGCCGATCAAAATGTCGAAGATCATCACGAAGACAACCGTTTTAAATTTAAAAGAATTTTATGTTGTTTCAACAACAGATAGTGTTAAGGGGACCAACTGACAAAAAGTTTTATTGTTATTTTTATACTAAATAAAATAGATTGTATATAGGTAGTACTTACCTACTACCGTACCTCTATTTAATTAAGTAAAAAACTAAGATTGTATAATTAGTTAAAAATATAATAAGCAGATAACATAAAACTTATCAGATTCAATATTAGCCCAAAATCATTTACAATTTTTAGGATATTATGTCTTCTTAATTATAACATCTAAGGTTGTTAATTTGAATAATAAAATATCTTAAAACTAAAAACATTTTACCAATAACCAGGCTGATATCTTGCAGGGTAGAACATTTTTACGATTTAAAAACTGTACAGTATTATTCTAAACAAGCCATATTCTTAAATCCAATGAAGCTCAATAAACTGTACTTAATGCTTTTATTAAACTTTTTTTTTAAGTCGTGTTTAAACAAATACAAATAAGCACAACCTAAAATAACCAATTAAAAATAGAACACTAAATACACTTTTAAGCTTATAGTAATTTAAATTTAATCTATAAATTAGTCGAGTTTCACTTATATAGATTCATGTTGTTTCTGCAAATTAAATACAAACACATTAAGTATTTKTGTTCATAAAATTTCATTCTATAAGAAGTTATGCATTGAATAATATAATACAATAGGGAAAATGTCACTAACTATACATAATTTTCCTACAAAAAAATTAAAATAGATACACATAATGTGTAGTTATTAACACAACAATAATTACCAGCAAATTTTATAATTTAATAATTCAGTAAACTCAAATTTAAATATTTGTTTAAATAAATAGATATTTATTTGTAATGTCTCAACGCTAAAAAAATGTTAAATGCTATATCAATAGAAGATGATTTTACAGAAATTATAAAAACATGAAAGTATCAGGTATCAAAGCAAAAATTGTATACTTCATTGTTAATAATATAATTCATAAAAAAACATAATGTATATTCATTTGGTTGGATAACATTTTGCAACATAACTAATTTTGTAAAAAATTAACTTAAAGTAGTTTTATTTGTTTGAAGTTATGATTACAATCAAAAGATTAAAAATTCCATTATTAATTTATCAATTAAATTAAGAACTACTAAACAATAATAATATACCACATACATATACCATAATATAAAAGGTGATTCACCGAGCCACTTATTTGATTTTTTTTTCTTCACTAACCAGTTATTCAAAATCTGAGTTTTAAAAGTTTTAAATAGGTGCAATATTGTTTTCAAATTCATGACATTTTTTTAAACAACTTAAGGAATTTAAGGAATCATGATGATAAGAATTCTAGGGGAATCATCCAATATAATAACATTTAATTATAACAACTAACAAGATATACTTTAAAATATTTATGATTAATAAATACTCACATTATAATTATTTAAGTTTGACTCCTACAGACACATTTTAACTATATCTTTTAATTACTTTTATTTATTTCAAATACAAATTTTCATAGACTTCATAACTTTCAAAACCTATTTTCAAACAAATATCCTACTTAGTTTATGTTAATATAATGGTAAGAAACTCATACAATCAAATAAACCATAATGACATCTTGTAAAGTTAAATACATCACATGACTAAGAATTTAGTTAGTTAGAATATGTACAGGAGACATTTTGGGGGAAATGAAATTTTTGACAAATTATTTATAATTTTGTAATGAAAATGTTGTTATTGCGATCATGCAATTAGGGAGACTAGTCTAGTATACCAGGAAATGATCATTTAAGATTTTGAGGAATACATTATTTATTTCTCTTAAAAACATTATTTAAAACATAGTCAATAGCAAATTATTATTTCAAAATCATTTAGTGATTTTAATTATAGCCATAAGTACTCAATAAAAAAGAATTATAATTTCAACAGTATATTCATCGATGTCTGAAGAAATTACTTATGTATGATTGGTACAATAAATAACTAAAACAATTATAACCTTTAAGGTATTAACTGAGAATTAAATTAAAATTTAGATTTGTAACCTTAAAATAATTTCAGCATGAATCATTTGGTAAATCATTGCCAAACTGTAAATAAATTGAATTGTTGATGCTTAATCACTGTTGAAATTAGATGTATATTAATAATAGTATAACTTAAGATTCTCAGGTTTAAAAGTTAATAAATGTTATTTTAAAATGTATAAACAACTAAATTTTTACAACGAAAGTGTCTTAGGTTAACTCATATATAAGTTTACAAATACCTAAATACATTTTACAATAGTTTTATATAACTAACAAGTTTTGTACAATAAATCGATTTAACTTTTAAGCCAATGTACATATCAGAATATTATATAAATGCTATGTAAATACTAATTGTATATTTTTAATGGCATAATCAAAAGGTCAAGTCTCACATGCTGCAATTAAATATTTAAAAAATCTGATTAGTGAGAATAAACTATTTTGATGAAATACTATAAGGTTTATATTACATAGATATTCTTGATAAAAAAAATAATTGTCTCATCAAATTCTTTATAGCAAATTCAATATTATCATACAGATATAAACATTTATTTTATTGTTTTTCCAGCAAACAAATAATTATATTATTCACAACTTTTAATAGATAAAAATGAAACTAATAAATCTTTCAATTTTAAAACTATTTTATACTGTTTCAATGGTACATGTACTGAAGAGACTAGACCTTTTAATATTTATACAATAAACTTGTCTATATATCATATTACATAATTGTGTTTAAATAAAAAAGATTTTTACACGCACTTATAAAATAATGGCCTGTTCTTTCATTTGCAATGTTTTTTAGTAGAACTAGTTTTCTGAGTAAATCAATGTAACCATAACACCGTAAAACTGGGTATGTGAGGTATGAGTTTGGATATGTCACTCCGAGACTTCAGAAATCAAACGAAAAAAGGACCTTGAAATGAAGAAATTAAAATTATATTGTCACTAATTATTTGTTAAAGTCTTGATAACTATTGATATTTAAAAACAATTTTGTCAACAAAAAATACTGGTTATCATTAGAAAACTTAAACATCAGTTAAGCAACTAACATATTACTAGACAATTACTACCTTTTTTCTGATATTACAGTAAATATTTCATAAACAACTTCATGGTAATAAATAAACAAAATAACATATTTACTATAAAAAGCCATAAGTTAATGTTTTAATAATCCTAATCAAACATACAATTAATTTTAATAAGTATAACTAAAAGCTACAGTTCTGTTTTTCTATAATATTAACAGGGATCAGTACACTTTCCCGACATTCAATTGCCAGACACCTCAATTGCCCGACAAAAAGCATTTCCCGAACAAAACATTTGCCTGACAATATATTCAAAAATATATTATTATTATTATATTATATATTATTAGGTATATATTCAAAAATTCATACATTTGTCCGACAGGCGGCAATATCAAGTTATATTATACATAAATGTGTGTCAAAAATTATTCAAAATTATACATATAACTAATAATAATTAATAATAATACATTTGTCCGACAGTCGACAATATCAAGTTATATTATACATAAATGTGTGTCAAAAATTATTAAAAATTATATAACTAATCCTACAGTCTAAAACCTACAGTCGTTAATATAATTCTACTGTCTATCTATCACCTATCTATTTGGGAAAGAATAATATCTTATCGCAAATAGTAGTTCATACAAGTCTACTTGCTGTCTGTCTATCACCTATCGGTTAATTGGGGAAAAAAATCTTATCGTAAATAGCAAAATTTTTAGAAAAACATTCTGCTTTGGAATATGAAATTAAAAAACTATGTTGCCATTCAAAAAAGTAAAAAACTTAAAAAATTATAAGGATAAAAAATATTTAAAAATATAATTTTTTAATAAAAGCGTTGATTTTTTAACAACTTGAAACTATGCAAAAAAATATTTTGAAAAAAGTCAATAYTTTTTTAAATAATGAGTGTTGTTTGATAAAAGAATCACCCTGTGTATATATTATATATATATATGTTGAATTTTATTACTTGAATAATAACATATTGATAAACAAGTATTTAATTATATTAAAATCATTATACATAAATTGAGAATTGATATATAGTTCTATATTCCAAATAAGTTTGGAAAAAAATCAAAAAATACAATGCAGTTCAGGTATTTGCAGTCTTGTGAGCTGCTGTAGGAGCAGCTGACTACTGAAACCAATCACAACAGCCCTAATAATACAAAGTTGCGAAATTTATCCAAACTTATTCGAAATAGATTAGGTAAATTAATCAAATTGATTTCAATTTAATCTAATTTTAATAATTAATGCTTACCATGAAAGTCAAATCTTTGACCACCCCGCACAACATATTTTGAATGATTGGAAGAATCATTTTGATCTGTAACTTTAATCAAAATGTATTTATAACGGCCTTTGTCATCAATGTCTACGTCTGGAATTTTCTCTAATGCTGAAGATGACATTGTGCGTATAATTAACTGAAAAACGTTCAATTACTAAAATAAATTATTTTTATTAGGTAACTAGGTATACTGGTATAAATGTACTTATAAAACTTTTGAATGAATGATTAACTAAAATATAATTAACAGGTAAAATATTGAAGAACATAGTATTCATACTTTTATAGATATGAATCATAAATTACCTATAACAATATTACTACTGTTACTTTTGCTATTTATTTTTCTTAGAAAAACTATTATTTTTTCTTATTTTTATGTTAAACTTGTTCAGCAGATGCATAATAAAGTATTACATTTTTTATTTAAATTATGGGTAAATGCATAATATATTTAAAAAATATATATGTATACATAAATTATGCATCTATTTTAATGTTAATGGTAAAAAAAGTTTATATTCCATATTTTTTATCATTGTCATTCAAATAAATAGGTACTTAATGATTTTTACTTAAAGTTGTTGCCAGAAATTTTTTAAATTATAATTATTTTTATATAAAAACCTAACTGAACAAAAACTATGAAGTAAGGTTAAAGGTACCATGAATTATAAGGTTTTGTTTTGTAACTTGGTATTTTAAATACCAACTATAACTTTTGAAAGCAGTACAAGTGACTTTGGTATACACTTATTATTTTAAACAAATGAACATTGAGCTAATAAACGTTTTCTATTATCTTAAGAAAAACTGAAAATAAGAGGACAGAATGGATAGATTCAAGAATCAAGAGCAATCATTAAATAAGCATTTACCTTGATAAATCGTGGACTTGAAAATGTTGTTAATCTTTTAAAAATCATCAACTTTTGAACTTAATATACAACGGATTTGCGAAGGACACAATAGGCAATAGGTAATAAATAAGTAAATATTAATAACACTAATAACATCAACACACGACGAGAAGGTATAAACATAAAGTTAAAGTATAATACGAGTTGTAGAATGTAGACACTATATTATTATAGTAGTCAGTAACCTGCAACCGCCAATATCACGTTATACTAACCAGTAACCGGTAAAATTAAAGTTTGATAACAGTTATCTATTATGATAATAACACAAAGAGAACGTTACCAGCTGTATTTTGGTGGTAATGTTTAAATATTTAATATTCACTTATCACTTTGAAGTATCTATAAGTCCGCCCAACAATTTTTGTATTTAACAATAGCCGGCGAGTCACGGCTTCAAAAGTAGGAGTTCTAATTAAAAATATTAAAATATCCCAAAAATCAAAACATGTAGATATAATATATTTATTAATTTATTATAAATAATATACAAGATATTATGGCAAATGAACGGACTACGGCGTCGGTCGTTAAGCGCAATTTCGTCGGTTCGGATCCCGATTGCCGGCCACGGGCGGGTCCTCTCTCTGGGCAGGCGACTGTCCAGAGAGAATGACCGCCATCCCCCCCCCACCACCGCCGGACATGGCAGAAAGCTAACAAAAAAAAATCTTGACCACTGGGCCACTTTAATAATAAATGTGTTGAGCCTATATTATATGATTATTGATTAGCGCATATTATGAAAAATATTTCTGAGTGCTGCCGGATATCTCTTTTTCTTGAATATTTTTTAATTTTTTTTTCAATTAGTATAGAAGGAGGGGTGTAATTAAGGGAGGGGTTGTGAGGAGGATATATTCCCCCCAAAAAACACATTTTATATTAGGTGGGGTAGGTCACTGTATAATGCTTAAAGATTTTGCTTCAAACATATTATAATCTACCCTTTAAACTAAATTCCTAATTACGCCACTGGTTTACATTCCTGCTATACGAGACTACGGCTATTTTCGCGACTTCCACAATTTATTAGCTGAACGATATCCATAGACTRCGTTTTAGCGTTACAAATACATTATATAAATATAAAATAATGAGCTTTTTTATTGATATTTATTAATTTAATAATTCGATGATATATTGATAAAATATTTAAAAAAATTTAAATTAAAAAATGGAATAGTAAGAAATACCTACAATATTAAAAAAACGTATAAAAATTCATTTTAAACACGAATAAACGAACTGTAACAAACCTGCAGTACCGAATAACAATTGTGACTGTCGTATTTCACATATTTTTTATTATTAATTTGGATATGGATGTGTGGTACTGTAACCTACCATGGTTTCTACCTCAAACCAAAGAAGAAGCAGTAAGGCTGCTTCAGGATTACGGGATTTTACATTCCGAAAGAACGCGCAAGTATGGTCATGACGCAAAAATGCAAAATTGTATTTTGGAAATGCAATATTAAAAATTTCCAAAAAAAGGTAAGTGTCCGAAATAACACTTGGTTTTAACTTTGAACTCAGTCGTCTTCCATTTGTCACTGTTATTCGATTCATTTTTGCTTGGACTGAAGAATCAACTTCTATAAAATGGTGTGAACAAAATTTGAAAATAAATAAAAATACAGTAGTAGACTGGAATATGGAATTTGCGAGAAGTTTGTTTACTTAGTATTGAGGCAAGAAACCAAAGAAAATTGGAGGACGTGGTAAATTTGTTAAAATAGACGAAAGCTTATTTTCCAAACTCAAAAATAATGCAGGCAGAATACTTCCGCAACAATGGATATTTGGAGGACTATGTCGTGAATGAATCGCAGAAAAAAGGCCCAAGGAAAAAAGCCCACGGAAAAAAAGCCCACGGAAAAAAGCCCAAAAAAATTAACACGCCAAGGAAAAAAAGTATAACAAATATAGGAAATTTTATATACGGATTACGGATACTCAAATACAAAAATAGTAGGAACATACTATAGTCATATAGGTAATAATAATAATAATAATAGTCACAGCAGGTCAGTCGACTGTAAAAATATAACAATGATAAATTATAGTATAAATATTATGTTGGGTATAGTGTAATATGATATTAAATATATAATGAAATTAAAACTCTATATTGTCATTAAAAAAAGTAAAAAACTTAAAAAATTATAAGGATAAAATGGTTTATATTTATATTTCTGGCTTTTTTTCCGCCTAACATCGTGAATCTGAATTCTAAAGAATGTTTTTTGGTTCAAGCTCCTGATCGTAGTATGTCTACTCTCTTATATACAATATTATTAAATATAAAAAAGGAAACAACAATTTATTCTGATAGTTTGCGGGAATACAACTCTAACGAAMTTTAAAACGCTGGTTACAAACATTTGACAGTGAACCAGTGGCGCCGATCACCTAATTTATCAATGACATATGTCATAGTAGATTTTATAGCTGGGGGGCCCACCAAGAGGTACTGGGGCCTGGTTGTGGTTAGGTTGTGAAAAAATTAGGGTGGGGGGCAGGCCCCAGAGGGGCCTCTGAATGTACGATGTCATAGTATTTTTTAAACACTTCGGCGCCACTGCAGTGAACCACAGCAAACATTTTTTAGATCCTCAAAGTGGAGCACATACTCAAAGTGTAGAATGTCTCTGGGGATCAGCAAAATGGCAGAACAAAAAACATCATTTAAAAACTAAGTGGAATTCATGTGGAGACAAAACATAAAAGAAAATCAAGGAAGTAAATTCACAGAAATTTTAAAAACAATAAAAACTCAATTTACACCATTACACTAATATTATTTAATTTTTTTTTTATATACATGTATGTATTTATAATTCGTATATAATATATTAATACGTCCATCATTCTTTACCATTTTATTTGTGGATTTTTATCATTTTTACATTTAATATTTTATATTATATATAATTATAGGTATCATTTTATTATTTTTGACTGCGTTTGGTGATGACACTAATATTATTTCTTTTTTTTTTAAATATATTACATAATTTATTGAATATTATGTGGTCATAATATTTATTTTATTTTTGTATTTATAATTTTTACATTTAGGTAGGTACTCCAAGTCTGGCTGTAGGCCTGTAGCACCTCTGGCGTGCGCCGTGAAAAATATATTACAAATGATTTCAATATTTTCTTTTTCTTTATATATAAATACAATTCGAATGTGGCCATCGTCTCCACAATACTTACAGATTAAAAAAATAATAATTAAGAATGCCCCTGCATGTACGACGTTCTCTTAACAAAAATAAAAATAAGGTATACCTAGTCTTAGATAACAGGATTGTGATATTTTACAAAAAAAACAGCGGTAGTCGCGATAATGGAGGTAGTCTTGGCCTCTTGGGTGCGGTGTCGTACGATTGAGAACGTTTTACCTTTTTTTAGCAACACGATTGAGAACGATTTTTCGTACGACGTTGTCATTTATCTTAACTTTTAGCAATAATTTGTAGGGATGGGATTTTGATTCAAGAGCATATTTTTTTTTGGTGTTTTGAAATTTTGGTGATTAAAACTAATTTTTTTGTATTTTTTTTTTTTGCATTTCTTGATAAAATTCACCTTATATTTGTTTATAAAATGAACGAAAATGTTTGCGACTTTCAGCATGTTTGCTTTTGATTTTTGATTTTTTTAAATTTTTAATCTGAAACTGACAAATAAAAATATAAATATGTTGTAAATAAATATTAATTTTTTACATTTTGATCTTAAAAAAATGCCTTAAGCTGACAAATAAGTGATAAATGTATTGATTTTACAATGATGTGTATGTTTATTTTTATTTATCAAATTTAATTCCACGGAAGTTTATTCTGCAAACCAAAAACTAAAAGAAATTTAGTAATTGACTATTATATTATACATTGTACATTTTATATTTTTAATTAATGCGGCAACGTTGCATACAAGTTAGCAGGTAAAAACGTTCTCAATCGTGTTATTAGAATAGGTAATACAGCCGATAAGGACCGTTCTCAATCGTGTTTAACTTCTACCCCTTGGGTGGTAGTCGTGATAATATCCGTAGTTTCGTATAACAGGAAAGTATACCTGCCACTGGCCACTGTATATAGAAGGCATACCGCATACAGCACACCGGACACTTTTATTTTGTTTTAATGTATTTATAGTTAAGAATGTTCAATTATAATTAACAGCAAACCATTCAAACAAACTTTACTGATAAAAAAATGAATGCATAGCATTGAGGAACATCTATAAGATTTGAATACTCGTATCTTTCAAAAATCGTTTATATTTTAGATTATTTAATTAATCAATACGAATTATTAATTATTTATTACGAGTATCTACTATCTGTAGTTATAACTATACGTAGATAGGTGTAGGAACCTACAATCATAGGCGTGCGCAGAGTTTCAAGTCAGGGGCAGCGAATATTTTTACCGGCCCATACATGGGTATTAAGTWAACATTTTTAAGCTCAAAATCAAAATTTAACTTTTGACCTTTAAACAAAAATATTTTAAACGATAACCATTGGTTAATCATAGATTGTTTTTGCTCAACACCGGTATTAAAAATACATCAAATATCAATAACACATTATTCTTTATTATTATGTTATGTTATTATTATATAGTWATAGTTCGGCCCATACAAATATATTCAAACCGTCCAGGAGCAGCAAGAGCACACCTTGCTGCCCCTGTGCGCACGTCTATGCCTACAATGTATAATCAATGTCTATCAATAAGTTCGTTTTAGCAATATATTCCTGTTACTAATAGGTACTATTAATTTTTTTTTATGAAAATATTTATATATAACATACAAGCAGCTCCAAACTATAGTTGAAACACGATGGGAGATGTAGCTAAGGTTTTACAATGGAAGTATTATGTCTATTTTCGAACGAGTATTAAATCACGCATATTCAAGTAATTATCCAAATAGATACTTTCCAAAAATGTAAAATACCATAAAAAAAATGCGCTAAATCAATAATTATGATTTATTAAATTTGATAATAAATTAATAACTGTAACCAGTCATGCTATAACCAAGAATTAGGTTTTAGAAGTTTTGAAGTAGCCAATTCCTTGTTTTCTTGCTAAAATTGTTTACCTGCTCTGACAGAATCTTATTCATGTACTTTTTTTCATT